CTTAAGGTCAAGCCCATCCTCCTGTCTAATGAGCTGTTACTGCGAAGCCTATCATTTGTTCTCTTAAACTGGGCTGCCAAACCAGACAGTTAAAACAGTACTACAGAGCTGTTTGCTTAGTAGTTTTCCTAAAATACCCACTGCAGTATTATAAATAGAGCATAAAAATAGACCATTGAAAAGAAACCTTTGTTTGATCAACCAAAGTGTTGTGTAGTACTCTATTCCTGTAATTTAAATGAATGGGATATTTGAACATGGCACTACAATGAATGAGAACTTCAGACAGAAAACAGCCTGTTCTTTTCAGCACTGTAGGTCGACGAGACATTTAACTTTTGAGTTTTGTTCTTAAAAATACATGTTTCACATGTCCTTTTTATATCAGCGGAAATTACATACCTACATATAAAAGAAAATGTAGTAGCCCTTTCATTAGCACAACTAAAACAAACCTTAAAATAAAACATATCCAGATTTTTAAGTCATTGCACTAGACTTGAAATGTCATTATTTTTTAAAAAACGTATAAAGATGAGCAAAGATAACACTGTCATGGTTTAAATCCAGTATTAAAATTTTCTTCTTGCAACACATAATTTCTAATAAATGAAAGAACAGCAATCAAGAAAACTGTGTAGTTGACACTTCCTAATCAATGTCTATATGTAATCCCTTATATCTAAGAACTTGAAAAATTAATTGAATTCATACTCTCAGAACTTAACAGGAGTTTCAAATTTCTCTGCATACAGAAAAAAAAAAATAACATCACACCCTATTCCAGAGTTGTGGAAAACCATCATAAAAAGATGGTCAAACTTGTCTATACCAACCAACAGTCCTGCAGGTAAACCTTTGGAGTCTTGAAAAAAAGCAGTTTTCCAAAGAGGCTTAATATATTTTTAAAATTATTTATTTAACTTGGCTTTCATCCGTATCAATGGCTATCTCTGTTTAGAAGTACAGGTAAAGAGTGTGGGAAAGCAAGAAAAGGAGTAGCTGTTTAACAGTTATGTCATATATGAGTTAATGGATCTAATGTGGCACTGGATATTTCATATAACCATAATTATTCAATTAACTTCGATAAAATTGTAAGAAAAACATAATGTATCTAATAAGAAGCTATATATGCATGTTCCTTCACAGAGGAAGCCTGTTGTCAGTCTGCAAAATTATTCTAAATGTCTGTTCTTTAAGACATGCTGACACCATAAAATCTTTGAAAAAGACATTGATTGTGATCTTTGATAGATATGTTTATCAACTGGTTGGTTGATTGTATATTTTGTACAAAGACAGTATGCATTTCAAATAATATCTCATTTTAAATAAACTTCGTACAGTTCTCAAAATCTATTTTCTTCAGCTGTCAAAGTCAATGCATTTAAAGAAAATGGAGAATTTGCCTAGTTTTCCCCTGGATGCATATGGAATCAATGTGTAAAAATTTTTCTTACTCAATTTTTGACACAAATAAATGATAGGTATTCATGGAAAAATTTTCCTGACATTTTTCAAAATGCTGATAAAAGTCATGTACAAAGAACGCTAATTTGAAACTACTGGTTGGTATAATCACAGCATGCTGTAACATGACATCATTATACCCCACTAGGATTACAGCAAAACCAGACTATGCTTTGTCCCCGAGCCCAGAACAAGCAACATTTATAATTACCTCTCAGAATGAAATCTGAATGTTCTCACAAATTAAAAAAATTGTCTTTTTTCAGGACAAAAACGAGCTTAGCAGCAGTCTGGAGCATAACAGAAGCTAAAATGTGCAGTAACTTCCCTCATTAAAGGTTGGATACTGTAAATACATTTCTAAGTGCTAGATGCCTTGCACAGTAGAATTAAGAGAGCTGAGTAGTAGCATCCTGCTACAGCACAACACTACATTGACTTTTACCTTCAGTGGGAGCTTCAAAGGACTTAGTTTTCAGAAGAGCTGGATTTGCCTTTGGCTTCGCTGAAACTGTTTTCATCCAACGTGTGCCATGTAAGGCTCATGGTAAAAACAGTTTTGCATGATAAGAGTTTTTACACATACAAACATGAAGCATTTGGACACAGTGCTACAACAGGCGCATTGACTGACCTCTCCTTGTGTGTGTACCAGTGTACACTGAAAGGAAGTTTGTACAAATACAAATTGCTGTGTACTGAAAATCAGAATTGATGATGTTTGCATGGATGCAATCTAACAATCAAGACCTGATACCAAGGTAGATTCATACCTCAAAATTCTGAAGGGCAAAATGTGAGTCTCTGAAACTTAGAATTAACTCTTTGTCTTATAGCTGTTGTGTTGGAAAAACGAACATTTTATTTTAAAGTATGTTTCATTAAGTCTTGTAACAGCAGGTCAACAGGAAACAGAGGTAAATGCAAGGCTTTGGTGAGAAACAGCAGTTTAGCTTGTTCCCAAAGGATAGTAAACAATTCACCTCTTCCCTTTCCAGTATGGAAAAAAGGAAATTATAGAAGAATAAAGACTGGAAATATTTCCCTTGCGCCACATACATATGCTATAAATATCTCGGTGTCTGTACACAAAGCCAAGGGTCACATAAGATTTATATTGACATTAGGAGAATGTCAATATAAACGTCACATAAGATTTATATTGACATTAGGAGAAACATTAGCATGGTAAATAAGTTTCCAATGTTCAACTATCATCGGACAAGTACAATTAGCATACTGATACTACTCCGATGGCCTTTCTCTTTGTTACTAGTGATCAGCTGTAAAATATTTGTTCCAAGAGGGAAACACTCCAACAGCACAAACAGGGCAATATGTGTCTTGAGTTAAAAGAATGCCTAAGAGCCTAACTCATTCCAAGGCTGAAGATGCTTTTCCTCTTCTCTTGAGAGTTACCTGTCAAACTGTTGTCTGCCCAAGTCCTTTCGGTCCTTGCTGCAATGTTTTTTAGATTGACTCAGTGGAGGAAGCCCACTTAACTGCATGTTACTGTAGAACCTTAAAAGCAGGAAAATCCTGTTCAAATCTTTTACAATCAGTAATTTCCCCCATGAGGTGAAATATTAAAAAATGTTTATATAGAATATCCAGTATGAGCTATTCAGAAAGACAAAACAGAAATACTGAGAGTTTTTCCCTTATATATGATGTGTATTCACCGATATCATCACATCTTTTCTTTCATAGGTACAAAATATGTAGCACAGTTCAGCATTTTATCCAGAAATTATTAAAAACCCACAAAGTGAACATTTTTTGGGCAACCCCCAAACCTTTATGTTTCTTAGGTGGTCTGAAATACTTTCCCCAAACCTGAAACGCATATCTTGTTTTTCTAGAGAAACAAACCTATTGGCATAATACCTGGATAATAAAAACCAGAATACATTATTTTAATTTTTATTTTAATGTACCGTTGTAACATATATTAGGAAACATTCCTTCATTTTCATTATCTTCTTGCTGCCCCAGCTGCAATCCCATAGATCTTACCAAGACTATGAACCTGCAAATACCAATGCAGTTCAGCAGCTGTGGTTACATAAAGAGCATCACTGCAGCTGTTCACAGTCACATGTATTCACCTACACGCACGTTTGCCACACATCCCCCAAGAAGGGCTATGATGGTGGTTAGCAAAGCGCTGCTTTGCAGTGGAGCACGTGCAAACCCCTGTGCTCACAAGGCAGTACTTTTCCCCCGCCCTGAAACTTGGACCTGATGCTTCACTGCCTACTGCATGTGCAGCACACTGTGGGTTTTACTTCAGGCAGTAAGATCCAGGAACAGGTGCTGACACTGCAGCGACCCAGGCTGCAACACCGGTGATATGGACCAAGGGTTGCTCCGAAGTTGGTCAGACAGCTTTGGCCACCGCCCCCAGCACCCAACCCTGCACCAGCAGAGGTTTCCAATAAGCAAGACAAGTATAACCAGAACAATTAGGACTCATTGTCCAATTTCAGCACTGTGGCATGACAACTCAGCAAGGTCACAGCTGAGCTTCATCTGTCTTGCACAGCAGCAGTCCTTTCATATTGTGTATCAAGCACCTGAATGCACACAGTCTTCCTGAGCAGCTCTGCAGTCCCCTTCTGCAGGCCAGGGGCAAGCTGGCCAGCAGGAGGAGGTAGGTGCCCATGGCAGCACCCAGCAATGCCACACCATGCACCGGGGCAGGCAGCACCAGTGGAACCCAGAGGGCTGAGGAGTATTTCTGCCTCTGAGCAGGGCAAAGGCTGGCCTGCACAGGTGCAGACAAGGGCCTTGGGACTGACACACACAGCTGTGCATGTTGTCAAGTAGGAGGTACTGAAGCAGGACAAAGACAACTCACTGTAGCTCCACCAGGGCCACAGTATAGAGGCATGAACAGTAAAGAGGACCAGCTCCTAGCTGGAGCCCATACAAATGTGAAAAGCCTTCCCCCCCCCCGCCACCTCAAAAAGCTTAAAGATACTAAGAAAACAAGACAGAGTTAGGGTTACGATGAAGATATAAAACTGGAACAAGGGGTGAGTGGTTGTTGAGTTATCATTTGTGTACTTAAGAAAAGCCACAATTAAAGGGCAGAAGATGGGAATATTCTCACACAGCAACCCACACTTTGCTTTCCAGCTACCATGTTCCACAGAAAGCAATACAACTGGTTGGTTGAAGTTTTACTTTAAGCAGTCAAGGAAGGGAAGTGGAAGATTTGAGAAATTACCTCAAAATACAGTAAGTTGTTATGCTACACTATGTAGCCTATTTCTCTGTGTTGGAGAGAAACACTAGTTAGCAGGGAAAATCTGAGGCATGATAGAAAAAAACATTACCCAGGACAGAAAATAAAACTAAATGCAAAGCTTCGAAACAAATGCACAGCTATCTTTGTTTGGCTAGTTTTGCTAGTTTTAAATGCCAACACTGCTGTGAGAACTTCACTGTAATAGAAAAAACCTGCACAGATTGCCTGTTGGAACCGGATTTACATGAGCTTAGAAATGACAGAATTCACACTCTTCCTTGGTTGCATTTATTGTGCATGAACTTCACAGTCACATTTTACTGCTTTTCATAGAAATGATATAAACTGATAAACACAATCACATCAAAACCTGAGTTCTAAAACCAAACATTTTTATTCCTTACATGTATACTATAAAAACTTGGCTGCATTTTCAAGAAACAACAGTTAAGGAGAACAGTCTAGTGTTGGATAGCAGCAACACCTCCACTATTTACTGTTTTCCTTTGAATGAGACAACACCAATAATTGTTGCACACTACACAGTTCAGGTATTTCTGAAGTTGTACCCCAAGACTAAAGTAGGATGAATTAATTTTCTTTTCCTATATTCGACTGTAAGACCACTCCTCATGACAGTCTTCTTCCCACTTTTGATTAGTGATTATCCTATTCCCACAGAGGTATTGGCTTCTAAAATAATTTTTGGTCTACATTGGTAGACAAAGTAGTACCCAAAACAAGAGGTTTCTTTCACCAGCCTTTATTCACCATAAATTAAAACCAAAAATTTTTGTTTCTTCAAGTTCTGAAAGACCTGTCTTCTGTTGCTTTTCACCTCCCCACATACACACACCATTTTAGCTTTTGTATCAAGGTGCTGTTTTTTTGAGGAGCCAAAGTAAAGAGCAAGTATGCGTTAACTTGGGCATCTTTGACAGAATTGTTAAACCCATTCACCATAAGTTAGTTGCTAAGTCAATGAAAAAGCTTACTCTCAAGTATTTTTGTATTAAGTTAGTTCAGTCAGCAGAGAAGGAATCTTGTTATTAGCTGACACAAATTCCTAGTAATGGGAAAGGCATGAGCCCTGAAGATCTCTCTTAAGAGTTTTAAAGCCAGAATTCTGAACAACTGCTCAAATTAATTATCATGACATTGTTTTGTACCACACACTTATGTGAGATTTGCAATTTTAGGATGCCCTCTACTTTTTCTAAATCCTAAATTGGACACCAATTTTCCCCACTTTCTTGACAAAGGAGAAAAGGAGACTGATCTAGAAAAGAAGTATCTGTATCAGATTAGTGAAGTACACCACCTCTATCACTGGAAGTAATGGGAATCAGTGACATAATACATCTAGTCCCAGCTTCAGCAATAGAAACTGAAAAGACATCCCTTGCAAAGTCAGATTTTTCTAGAGAACAGATTTGTGTTCTAGAAAGGTAAAATACTTTGGTAGCTTGAAGCTTAAAGATTACAGCAGTACAAAATAATAGAAACAACTGAGCAAAGTTAAACCGTTAACTCAGGTCCAACTTTAACATATGAGGAATTAAAAATTGTTGAAGCTGCAGAACTTTTTTCCCAGAACTGATGATTTGAAGAGAGTGTCCAGTTGTAACAGGTTTATAGTGTATGCAGAGCTTATCCTTCCAGCTGAACTTCTATTTCAAAACGTGAAAGACGATTGAAGAAGAGTCATCTGTAAAAATCAGTCTGGATATTACATTACCTCATGTTCCCTCCAGAGCTCCAGCAGCAGTTTTCCAAATGCTGTTAAGTTTTGATTTGCTGCGATGTTAGTGCCAACAGTCTCTTGCTGAGCAGTGCATTGTGTCGCTGAAGATACTCTATTACATCTCCTTGCTTCTCAACTATCTCTTCTAAACTTGAATTTTCCCTTGAAGTTACAAAAGTGAATATGAGTTTCAATAAGTGACAGCAGCTTTCTAACACGTGAAATGTCAGAGCTAATAAACACTACTTAAACAAGTAATTTCTCTCAGTTTTACTTATACCAAGCTCAACTAACTTTTGAGGGGAGAGGCAATCTACAACACCTTTATGAGAAGGCAGGAAGAGAAAAAGTTTGGCTAAACTTCACGCCACGTATACATAATCAAGTTCCATATTTCCTGGTAGACAGTTACAGAGTGAGGATTCTTACTGTTTAAGAAACTAAGACAGTCAACATGCTGGAATTGTCCTAAGAACCATGGAACGTTTTAAACATACATTAGGATGCTTATTTTGAGCAGGCATAGTATTGTTGTTCAGTTGTGAGGGATCATAAGCTGTTTAAGACAGAACTCTCTTGAGTAACCTAGAGTAGCATACATGATATGCTACTATATACAGTGATATCTGTCCCCTACCTGAAGAGCATCAGTACCAAAAGTTGTGCTATTTCAGATCTACAACCTTATGCACTGCTACCCTCCTCCTTAAAATATATCCAGTTTTCAGATATCCCTCATTTTTACTTGGATAGTAACATTGCAACATTTAAATAAAGCCAAGTTAAATGAGAAAAAAAATCTATAAGAACACAGAATTTTTAATCAAATCAAACTGAATTAGGAATTTTTAAGAATACAGCAAGATGAAGTACCAATGCCTGAGTGTATTGTACTCTTTCTTTACATATAATTTCTTCCTAGCTGACTTGGGAACCTGCCTTCTTAGTACACTTATGAGCATCTTAGAGCTTAAAAAGTTGCTCCTCAGCCTTGCAGCATTTTTGTGGAGGAACACTGCCCTTTTCATAGTTCTTAGAAAGTGCTAAAGAAGATACCTAAAGTGGAAAAAAGCTTAGGTACAATTAAAAACCTACTTTAGTTAAACTGGAAAAAATAAAGAACACAAGTTTTGTAAACAGAAAGCTTGCAACTTTAACCAGTAATATGCACTCCCAACCTAAAGCTCCTGAAGATGTCTTGGTAGTAACTCAGGTTGCAGAGGTCATGATATTCAAAAAACATTCTTCTAACAAGGTCAACTGAAGGGCTGACAGGATTCACTTTTCAATAGACCTTAACTCTCAAGGGAAAGAGAGTCACAGTTGTATAGAGCTAAATTAAAATAACATTTTTTCAATCAGTTCTCACAGGAAGTTTGCACTCCTTAATCAAAAATAATCAGAGTCTTTTCCTCAGCTGGTCATTGTTGCAGACTCATTCCCTGGGCATTTGAGAATTTCTCAGGGGAGAAGCTGAATGAGAAAGGAATGAGGTCCACCATGCAATCACTATGGTGTTTATATCAAAATGGAAGTCAGACATGGTATCAAAATTCAAGACAACCCTAAATCCTTCCTGTATCCTGGACATCTACTTCCAAGTTCCATAAGAGCACATGCATGCTGCATTTGTGACACCAGGGGAAATGCCAAAGTATTAGTCATTTCTGCACTTTCAACTTTTCACCAAGGCACAACATATAGAAGCAAGTCATAGTGTATTAGAAAATTCCTAATTAAATTCTTATATGGAAGCCGATGTTAGTTTCAATTACTCATTTTTGTTAAGTCATACCAGACTGATTTCATCAACTGGAAGATGTTCAAGCATTTGAAAGGTACATAAAGGACAATCAAAAAAAATAAGTCTCAGTGCTTGGGATAGCTTCAGTTACTGTTGGACAGCTTCTCTGTCTCACTGAGACCTTCTTTACCCCTTAAGTGCCCTCTGCACCTTTAACGTTCCTTCCCAAACTCAAAACATATTCCAAATCCATTGCTAGAATCTCATGTCCAACTGCTGGCACAGAACAGAGCTGCAAAGTTTTCTTCGTCTACTAATTGACCACAATATATTTCCTTCCCTGAAAAAACTGGTTGAAGCAACTAGGCTTCTCCAGGCATACTTTTAAAGTTAAACAGTGTAAGACACCAGTATCTTTCCCCAAACTCCCATATAAAATTAACTAAACCAGATTAAGCACAGTTATTTATATTAAAGATTCATGCAGCCAGCCATAAATAGTCAAATCACCTCCATCTGTATGTTTGAGGATTTCTGTATCACAGTAAATTGACATTACTATGTAGAAGGTACAAGACTGTGCTGTATCTCATCTGTGCATCTAAAGTGGCAGCCTTAAGCATACAGTTTCCTTCACAACTGTTTTTCCCACCTCTGGCTTAGTTGAGAGATTTAAGATTCTACATAACTCTACATGAAGTAATGCAATTACATTAGTGTTACCTATATACCATGTCTGAACACAGCACAAAGTTAACATAGAAAAATCTTACCTAAATCCAATTTCTGAGGTAACATGACTAGGGTAGGCATACATCTTTTCTTCTTCAATTATGTCAGGTCTTGGCTTGGCACGATTGAAGTTGCTTATTTTCACTGCAACAAAGCTTTACAAATTAGTTGGAAAGCAACCAGAAAAAAAATCTTTATCACCAGATTCTAAGTTATAAAAATCTGTAACAGATGATTCTAAGATTACCTTAGGATAGGAGATGGAAAGACAATAAAGGAATCTGAGGAGTGGGGAAGAGGGAAATCAAAAGCAGAATCTACTTCTACTCATTTCTGGAATGGCTTCGATTACAAGTTAGTGATAATTTGCTGAGTTGGTTTATTTGTTGCTTTGGTTTATTTTTAATTCTCCTCAGTCCTGCTGCTTAAAAGATCACTGTGAAGACTTGAATGGGGAAGTTTGAACACACTGCTTAATGTCTGCAAAGTTTAATCTGTCACCTAAGAGAGAGTGAAACCTTTGTTGCCTTTTAGAAGGTACTGAGATTCAGTCTCCAAATTCAGGCTGTCAATTAAACAACATGTCATAAAAAAAGTTGTCAGAAGTTTTGTTACTAATACCTAGGTCAGAACTTCTGGCTTAAGCTCTTCAATAAGTACTAGTTTAACTAGACTACCTGCAAGGAAGTAGCAGCTTGTCTGTCTGCTCAGAATAGGGCAGACTTGCAACAGAAAGCCACTAAGTATTCAAACCAGCGTAGCTCTGTGAGCAGCTTCACACTGTGAAGCTTGCAGTGCTGGCTATCGAAACCAGAAGTCATTCCTGGGCACCTGTGAATAAAGTTTAAGACTAAATTTAACAGGTGTGGGATAGGGAGAGCTGGGAAAAGTTGTAGGCATCCTCTGCATGATTTTGGAAAGGAAGCTGGAAATATTTAAAGTCATTCAATATCAGATCCTGATTCAGAGAAAATATCAAAATATCCAAAGCATGCTTTCAGGACTCTGCAATTTGGGCTGCTTTTGAAGCAATACTCTAATGCCACTAAAAACATTACAGTCCAGCTCTGGGAGAAATCCACACCACTGCAGCAGAGGAGGACTGTCCTTACAAATCAGTACCATGAGGGGTTTATTACAGGCCACCCTGCTAAAACAATGCTAAGACCCTCCAGAGGTTAACTACAAGTTAGGCTCAAAGGTTAGTTATTTCTATGATGGTATTTCTCTACAAATAAAACCACAAAGGAATGGATGTGGAATTCTTAACATGTGTTGTTTGTGGGAATGTTAGTCTTTTATTCAAGTGATATTAGAAGTATGTGAGAAAGTAATTAAATACATAAATTTAGTACATCTTTTAAAGCTTGACTCCCTATCCTAGCAGTAAAAAACTTAGAATAGTAAGCTGACATTTAGAGCTTTCTGTATCATACTTCATTCTGTGCACTTTTACCTCACTTGAGCAATTTATATATGTCGAGCCTGTTATAGGTCAATCACAGCAATTCCTTGTAAATTTTCCCTGCCTCTGCATCTACAGCTCTATACACACACACTGCTGCATGGAGATGCCTCTAAAGAAAGGCAGTAGTACTACACAGGACACTGGGTATCATACAATTCCTAAAATAGCTCCAAAAAGCAAGAGGAAATGTCTAGAATTACAGTCAGGTATTCCTGATTTTTTAGACAGTAATATTTAAAAGATAGTAAGTCAGGTATATGAAACTTCTGCAGACAAGCATTTATGTCTCATAGTTAAGAAATAACTATTTCACTGTGAAGAAACAATGTATGAACTGGTGCTACCTTCTCTCCAATATTTAGCAGTAACATACTAACACAAAAAATAGTTATTTTTAGTGTTAATTTTCCCCTTGTTGCTCAGCTACAATAGCTGATACTATCTTAACAGGAAGTGGTATCTGCTAAGTGCTTGCCTGCAAGAGGGGAATCCCAAGCCTAACCAGAGGGCTGCCCTTAAAACTGTCCTACTAAAGAAGCTTCATGCTTCCACCCAGTCACATACTCGGCTCTGTTTGCGAGAGGAAAACCCATGTGAATGTCAGTATTACTATAGATTCTCATGGTATTTTAAAAATTGGCCACACATTTGTTTTGCTCCAATACAGTTTTATTTTTATATTAAAACATTGCAAAACCTTAAAAACCAGCACTATACACAAGACAGACGTGCAACCAGTCTCTTAGCTTAGTTCAAGCTTTGGGATGGAAAACGGAAAACAAGGTATACTACCCAATAGAAAAGGCAATCTAGGGTGACTGGAGGTCTTCCTCACCTTGAGGAAAGTGTTGAGTTACATAAAAATTAACCCTAGCTTTGTACACCAAGTTTCAGAGAGTGAATCAGACTGTTGTTTTGGGGCTGCTCAGGAGATAAGGCAGCTGTTACTAAAAGACATTGCCTTACTTCTTCCTAGCAATGCAGCTCTGTCCCTTCTCTCCCTTGGTTCCACGATTCAGTGAACCCTTCTTCAAGCGTCCTTCAGCTAGAAAGCAAAACATTGTATACAACATCCTTGTATACATTGGTTAATGAATCTGATAATCACAGGAACTGGTAGAGTACAAATTAGGAAACAAGACCCTTTTGGTGACAAATAAGCAGATAGTTTGAGAGTTCTTACAGAAGTCCAGGCTCAGATCTTACTACTATGAAGGTCAATTTTCTAGCACTTTCTTATCCTTTTCAGCCAAGGTAAGAGACACACAATGTAGCTCTTTGAGCTCCAGGAGGCCTCAGGGCTAGAAATAGCATTTCACTGGAATTCCTGATGTTCTATTAAAGTTTCACCATTTTATCTCTTATTTCCTGAGTTTCCCAGGAAAGTAAGTATGCATATGCAAAGAAGGGATGATCTCCAGCATTCTTGGAATAGTTTCCTAGGACTGCCATGTTTGTGTTCCCTCATCCTTGCCTTTATTCCTCCAGAGGACAGTTAGTCTACTTGAGCCAGCTGGCTCATTCAGGGGAAAGCCTGACAAGCCTACAGCATTCAGGCCCTCTGCATAGTTGTAAGAGGAGGACGTAGTTTAGAGCTGGGACCTTATTTCTTGGTGCATTTTTGATGCTGTTGCAAGGGAGTCAAGAATAGATTTTATTTCCTAGGTGAGCAAGCTCCTTGGCAGTATTTCTCTGTGTGCTATTACAATACCACATACATACCAAAACTTTCTTTCAAGCATTTATTTACCAACATTTTAGGTAGTTCTGCAATGGTTTAATGGAAAGAGGTTAATTGAGTCTTTGTTGGTTTGTAAGGTTATCTGCTTTAGGTTTGGTGTAACTTACAGTGGTAGCACAAAGCAAAGCCTCAGTTTTATGAACCAGTAAGTTATTTTAATATAAATCACAGCTTTCAATAGCCATGTTTTATAAACATTAATTTCAAAGAATCCTCCATTTTAGTGACAAAGAGGAACTGAAGCCTTTGGGATGGGACCAGGGAAAGACAAAAAGGCTGGATAAGGCATAATCACACTACCAGGTGTGCAAGTCCCATATGGAAATCCCAGAAGCAGTTCTGACAAATCCAGCTAGCTCTTACTCCTTCATAGCTTGTGGTGCATGCATATGAGAAACACTGATAAACAGACAAACCTGTTCACAGGACAGTTTTTGAAACAATTAGGCATTCATTGCCACTTGGCTGGATTAACAGCTCTGAGATAACATGGAGCTTTCATTTAGCAGCACTTGGAACCAAATCAAGCCTGATAACCTTCCTATTTGTTTTGAATTTGTCTTAGTTCTTCTACAAGCACACAATCATTCTGTTATTTATAATGGCAGTTAAATGTCTTGGGGTACCCCAAGTGAACTACTGTGAGGGCAAACATAACACTTGAATACCAGCTATAATAATAAGTCTCAAGAAAGCAAAACTTGCCTCTCTCACCTGTGTAAATCACTAAGCATGTGAGGGAGCTAATCAGCTCCAGGCCCAGGACTCCCAGGATAAGATACAGGTACACTTTACTGTGATCAGGAAAGGAATGCTGCACTGACAGAATCAAGAGCAGGGCTGTATTACCTAGAAAGCAAAGGTTATATTTTACAGGTGTAACAATTTCATCAGTTGTTGAAAGTAACTTAGTACTTTCTCATCCCCAGTATCTGCATTAGGCTGCAATCTTTCAGTAATGCTTTTTCATTTCATATCATACTTGCCCTTTTAGTTAATTTCCTTAACACAGGTGATACAAGCTGACAGCAAAATGAGGTTTCATTTCAGCATTTCACTGTAATGGTAGAGAATTATAAGTTTTCTTATAGATTTTTCTAGCTTAAAAAAATGAGTGGAAGAAACACTAGAAATACTTAACATACATATATGGGCTTAAACAGTTTCTAGCTTTGTTGCTGCTATCCATCTTATTCTTTCAATTTCTAAGAAGTCATGTTAGTGAGGCTAACAGAGCAAAACAAAAACTAAATACCTTCCTCATTTGCACAGGCTTCCACTTGTCTAGCTATTTTTTTAATACTTGCAAGTTACTGAAAGTTTAATTGAAATGAGCACAGTTAGTCAAGGAGAACAAATAGAGTTACAGACCTAAAAAGCATTTTTAATTCTTTACACACCCTCTTTTCTGATACTGAGTTTGGAATGTCCTTTTCCTGTAGAAATGCTATAACCAGTGTCTGGATAAGGAACTAAATTTATCAAGACCATTAATGTAGCTAGGGAACAGTGCAGTTCTCTTTCATACTGTGTCAGTCAACTGAACTGTCAGGATGGAAGTGGTATCAGCAGTGATTACCACACAGGACGCTTGCAGTAATGGAGCTATCTACTTTCTGAAATACAGATGATCTCTACCAAAATTCCCCAGCACACACCTGATTGCACCTGAACATTCACACATGCCCAGAGTTTGTCTAGTAGGGGAGAAGTGAGCTCCATGTAAAACAGGGCTAAGTATTCTGAATTACATTGCAATAGGTGGAAACAGTCTTTTACATCATTAAGCCTGCTGTAGCCTGATTTTGTCTCTGCATTTCAAACAATTCTTCATCTTCAGAGCTCTATCTAGTGGTCAGAGCCTGAAGTTTTGCACATTCATCAAGCTGACTAGCTCTTTTAGTGACTGTGTAGAAAAAAAGCTAGGTTTTTATATAGAGCAAGACCATTTGACTTATCAATTCTGGTGCAAAAAGTCTACTCCAGTTATTCAGAAGCCTTACAGAAGGGAGGTGAGACTTTAAGTGGCAAAAATACTGTAAAAGCCATTACTGGTCCCTTTTCCACTGCTATTTATGTGAATAATCCCCTCAAGTTAGATGGATTTTAGAATTGTTCAACCAGCTTCTAGAAAGGTTACACCAGCTACTTGCACCAATACTTTTCAAGCTCCACTGGCCAGTGATGTAACTTAGAGTTAAATCACTCCCATACACCACCTTTTGTCCATAGAAAGGCAGTCAGAAATAGAGCTGCATGTCACACATAGCCCTACTCAAGATGAGAAAATTGCTTATTTTACAGATTTCAGACAGCTGTTGAGCAACAGGAATTCAACTGTTTCTATGTGAATTGCTGAGCTTGAAAAGAGAAGAGCAGCACACTTCCTGGAAGGACTAGCAGTCTTACCACATATCCAAATAGACAAATGAATATGCAGATCAAGATCACTAGCAGTCAAACAGACCTGAATATTTTACGGCTGAAGACTAAATGCTAATGACTAAAGGTTTTACTCAACCTCACACTCCTGAGCATTTTTCCACTACAAAGAGTTCTTTACAACATGCATCTGGCAGGCCAGAAAGCTCAGTCAAGGAGGTTCGTAAGTGCTCGTAGGCAGGTTTTTAGAAGTTCATACTATACAATCATATATAAACTGTTCAGTCTTTTACTGCTTCACAGTTTAGAGTTTTAGAAAAAAAACAACTTCACCTGTGGAGTGTATGAGCAGTGGAAGCCTTTTTAGATGCTTTGTTGATCGGTATATTGCAAAGTAACCTCTTCTTCTGACTTGACTATGGTGGTGCTGGACATAGCGTTCAAAAACCACATGCAGAATCCACAGAATTACTTTTGCAATTATTATGACAGTCTGCACTTTAAGTGGGTGAGTGTAGTTTCCAGGGCACTTATCTTGATTTGGATTGGGGTAAGAACAAAACATAGCTGCTAAAAATGCTAGAACAACAAAAGCAACCTGGAAGAGAAAGGAAGAGAGATAAAAGTCAACATTTAGCTATATATATGTAAAAAAAGTAGGATTATGTAGTTTATTCATTATGCATTACTTTCTGAATTGATTTTATTAGAGATAACATATAAAACATTAGATACTTCTACAACCACTATATGTCACTCTAGGAACCTAGTGCAGACTGAAAAGCCAGTGTCCAGCAGAATAGAGATGATAAACCTCACTCTTCCTGGAATTTCACTGTTCTCCAAGTCTTTCCTTCATAGTGAACTTATTTAATTTCTGGGCCCTCTTTACTATGTCTTTTTACTTTAAGGGGTACTTGATTTATACTCCTCAAAAGAAAAATCACATCTCTTTAGACTCAATCAATTACACTTGATGCTGCTCTGTGAGACAGCCTCCTGTCTTATTGGTATAGTCTGTGTTTCTTTAAATTGACACTAGCTAAGTGAAAATCAACCCTTTACTACAGTCATTGAAGATCATCTCCAGGTTATGACATTAGACAAGTGAATCCTCATAGTAACTTAAAAACTGAAATATTAACACCAGGTAGGCACCTTTGTCAGGTGGTAATCATTCCTTAGTATATTTGCCATCAGATATTTTCATTTTCCTTTTTTTACTTAAGTCAGAATAACCAGACAGATTGACAGTCAGATTGTATATATACTTATCCTTTCAGACTAGTGCCATTATGCCATAACTTTCCCTGTCTTCTAGACTTCTCTAGAAATTTTCAGCATCAGCAGTGAGCATGAGCAACCTTTTTGCCAACTAGAAGCAAATTTTTGGATGTGCATTACCTGTGGTATATGTATACACACAGGGGTTTTAATATTTAGAGATATTTTTGTAATAAAAAAATGTTTTCCCTACTGTGTTCATTCAACGAACAAGGAAATATTATACTTTCTCATCCTGTTTCACTCTACAGAACAGGAATATTTTTAAAACAGAACTGTAAACAAAAGAAACTCCCACCATTACAGAAGTAAATTGAGAGCTTCCATGGACAAAAAATAAAAAACCCTCAAGTCTGAAAAAGTCTAACACCTAATATACTTGGCTTAAAAAAGTGTCAGATGCTCTGCATCTCATAACTGAGAGAAACAGCACATCAGAATCGAAGATAGAGCAAAATATCTGATTTTCATTTGCTACCTTCGTTTCCATACTTAATTCTATGAATATCTAAAATCCCACCAGTCCCTTTCACAGATCATAGAATATGCTGAATTGGAAGGAACCCACAAGAATTATAGAGTCCAACCCTTAGCCCTGCACAGGGACCATCCCCAAGAGTCACACCATGTGCTGTGACCATTTCCCTGGGGAGCCTGTTCCAGTGTCCAACCACCCTGCGACTGAACCACATCTTTTTAACATCCAACCCAAACCTCCTCTGACACAACTTCAAGCCATTCCCTCAGGTCCTGTCATGGGTCATCACAGAGAAGAGAACAGCGCTCCTCCTATTCCCCTCATGAGGAAGCTGTAGACCTTTCCACTCTCTTGAACTTATTTTTCGTATTTTTGTACTTTCTCAAGCAACATTCTTCATGGAAATTAACTTTTCAGAACCACTAAATTACTTTTGATACAAACTGCCCTTAGCTCCCTCTGATTGTGGCCAGAGTTAGGTAACTGGGGAGGGAGGAAGAAGGGGAAATAATTTTCACACAATCATCAAAACCTAAAAGAGACATTATAGAGGACAAACAGGATAACAACCCAGACAAAATAAAATAGGAATGTGTCCTACATTATCCATAAGACCATCATTTCCAATGTAAATTAAATACCAAGTTATCTTGAGATGGGTTAAGTAACCAGGTTAAGTAGTTAATTAAAAGGAAGGCTTACCAACAAAATGTTTGTTTAATCTATTATTTTACCACCTCCTTTTCTTACAAAATTAAGAATAATTCAGATATTTTATTTGGTCCATTTACTGTTTGGTTTGCCATTTTTCAACAGTAACACATTTAGTTCTATTCCTTTCAGAAGTTAGGAATATATTTCAGTACAGAAAATGGCTACATTAAACTGATGCAAGCAGGAATGACCTAGCAGTGCATTGCTACTAACCTACTATAGCAACGTATACAAGAGGAAACAGGTAGCTGGCTGGAAGAGTGATATTTATTATGTTTTGCTTCCATTTTAGGGCAGTCCAATAACAGGTGTTTCAACTCAACACAAAGGAATTTTACATACAAAAAGTTATTCTTATAAAGAGCAGTATTTAAAGTTCAGTTTTGTGTATGTGCATACACAGAAGGGATTAGGGAAGGACGGAGTTAACATAAAGAAATTATTTCTAGCCTGTACACTTCACACTGCTCTACAATCTCCTGATAGGAGCCAGAAGCCTGCAGAAAAGCAAGGCTTGGCAAAAGGAAAGGCACTCAAAAACCCAGCCCTACCACACCCTGGCATGGCCTACCCACATACTCCAGAATTGTGCGTAATTAGGCAGCTGCACCAAAGCAGCTATTTTGCTACTTAACTCCATTTCTTGACACAGGAAGGTGGAGAAGAAATATTCCAAGTTACTTACAAATTACTTTAGAGATTCATTACAACTTTACTGCTTAATACTATGATGGCTTTACTTCTCCAGGACACTCACCCCTTCGGCAGGCCTAACCATCAGAACCTAGGCTGGCATCTCTGCATTCCACAAGATTTGTGTACATTTGAAGAAGCACAGGGGAAGAAAATCCAATATGCTTGTTTTCCCCATCCATTTTTAGAGTGAGAAAGACAGTGCCACTTCAGGTGACAATTATAAAGCTGTATTTCACCGACAGAAAAGGATACTTCTCCATTTTGCTCCAAGGACCAAGTGGTCATTGCAGCAGCTTCAGCAACAGCAGCAAGACTCTTCCTGGAAAAGTGTGTGCTGACAGATCCCTCATTAGTTTTCCCTCTTCCCCTCCCCACACTTCTCACCATTTGCAGGAGAGAGGAAGAGGTGGAGTCAGAAGGAGTTTCCTACAATCCTGACATTTGGCTGCATCAGTTATGGTAGCAGATGGTAAATCCCCAAGGCTAGGCAGAAAAATATTTACTACAGAGTTCGAGGGCACCAGAATTTGTCTGGCAGGGGAACAGAATAAGGCTAGATACATGGTTTCCACTGGGAATTTTGGTAGTCTGTTCTGCAGAACAGCAGAAGTCTTTCTTAAGTCTACTTGACAGACAGAGGGGCATTTCTTGATATTACCATGAGGCCTACAAACACTTACTCCCAAAATTAGAAGGCTGGGGCATATTGAACAGCTTCATGCAGCTGCCCAAAGAGAGACCTTAGAGGTTGGTATATGCTTTTAAAGTTCTGGCAAGAGGGCATGTTTTGAAGAGCGCTGAGCACTGCATTTTTTGTTTGAGATGAAATGAAGCTCTAAAATAGCTAGCAACACATACATACGTGTCCTGTGTGCTTTCCGGCTTTACCTTCAGGTCATTGTCGGTGGCATTATACAATCATAGAATTATTTAGTTTGCAAGAGACCTTTAAGATCATTAAGTCCACCACTAATCCATGTTATGTGTTGTTGAGTTATGTGTTATTGAGAGATGCCTCTGCCTAAACTAAGGTGAAGATGAGACCATATGTTGAAGTTAATAGGATAGATTTTATCTAACAATAAAATGTGAGGTAGAGAGATAGAAAGAAATAGAAGAGAGGAGGAGAGAGAGAGAAAGAGAGATACATTAAATAGAAGATAGTCACCACCTGTGGATCCAGCAGTGGTCCTTCTTCACTCTGGACTTCTCAGTGGTGGGAGGCTCCCAAGGTAATTTAAAAATTTTCACTATTTATACATTTTTACAAAAAAGGAATTAATGCTCATTGCTTTCTTATATTCTATTGGTTAAATGATTCCCTCACTTCTAATGCTAATTAGACCACATGTCCAGTCTCTCTTCTCTTGAGTCAGTGGGTTGTGGTCAGTGCTCACAATCTCCCCCTTTTAAAAGGGGATTAAAAGGAATTACCCTTTATCCAGTCCAAGCCAATTTCAGCAGTCACTGATTTGGCTTTTCTTGTGGCCCATAAATTCCACATTCTTTATGTCCATTATCAATGATACATTCTTGTCCCCCAACTTTGTTAATCTCCCCCTAGGTCTGAGATAACACTAAGACAATAGTACCACCTTTCTCTCATCTCAAGTTCCTGTCACAGTGGCTTAAGTTACAGTCCAAGTTCCAGGTACCCATAGAGGCATATTCAGGGGGCAGGGGGGCTTTGGTAGTCACAGATGCCATCTGTCCCATAACCAAGTGTGATCTTTGTTCGACCAGTGACACATGTACGAGCAGTTGCTTCTTTACACAGTTTGCCACAGTAGGAAGTTTTGCCTGGATGCATCACCCAGGATGTGCTAACCAGATCTCATTTCTGTCAGGCTTGGAGTTAATCGCATCCTGTTGCTCCATTCTGTGCTTATCTCATGGCAAAATCCTTCTGTGCCCTTAGCAGTGTTTGAGACAAGCAACTGTGCTCTTTAAGTCCTTACACCATGTAAGTACCATTTCAGTTAGATCTTAGGATCAGACCTCTTCAGCCTATCTTCTTCATGTTTGGTTGCCACACACAGGCAACAATAAGCCTCTGCAGCTTATCAAGGATAACTCACTATTAGGCAAGGATCTCTCTGCTTCTGTCTACCAGCCTCAAAGGCCTGCATACTGTTCAGTATCTGTGCTTTTTGCCCTTAACCTCCAGAAGTGAGAGGAGGAAGTAACATTTGGATTCCTTTCTCTCTCCATCCACACCTCTATCTCTACCATGCAACCCCTCATAAGCAAGTCCAACTTTACTTGTTTAGTTACCATAAGAAATACCTTCTTCTGAAATTAAGTTCAGCCTCAGAAGATATGGCATTGAAATTACCTTAGCCCTCTATAACTAGTATAGCACTTCTACAGCAGTAATATTATTTTTAAAGTACATTTCCAACAGCATAGAAAAACTACTATTTGAAGTGCTTTTCCACCTAACAAGATGTGTCACAGCATGTTAGCGCCAACAATCAGAATGAGAAGGCAGCAAGTATCCAGTAGCACACACATTATCAAAATTCATTGGCAAATGGGACTTCGCTGGTTTAGAAGAACAGCACATGCAAACCCCTGGAGAATTCTGTTACATGAACAGTAGAATTCAGAACAGAGATAGCAAGTTTTCTTAAGGAAATCATGCTTCTTAAACTTACATGTATTAGCAACAGGAAATTGGCAAGGAGAACTGCTGGGATAGAATGAAATCTTGGCCTCAGTTGGGAATGTAATGTGTGAGACGAAACGAGTGGCGCATCCAGTAGAGGATCATCTTCCAAACTCTGTGTTATTTCCAAGGAACCCTGGAACAGAAGGGGGGGAAAGAATATCAATAGGTAAGCTCTAAAAGTAAAGTACAAAGGTTTAGCAATCTTCTGTTAGCAAATCAAGCTTTGTGGGAAAACCACCCCACTAGGTCAATGTCTTGAGACAAGCTCTTAAATTCTAGGTAAGCTCTCATCTCTGAGGAATCCAACAGTAACCTACCTCCCAGTATCACCCTGGGCCTTCAGGGATTTTAGGCTTTAAATATATTATGAGTATCTAAGCAGTCCTGAGAGATGCCACAAGTACTAGCATATTTATATAAAAAAGTAGGAAAAGCGATGATTTGAAGTGTCTCTCACATACTTTATACAGGTACTGCAAAACTCCTTGTTATTCTTACTCCTGTCCAACTACAGCTGGAGGCAATAACAAAGCTGCAGTGTAACAGTAACAGTTTTGAGGGATTCAGCCACTGACGCTACTGACATGTCTAAATGACTGCAGCATTAGTTAGAACTGCACTCAGGCAAGAAGGAAACCGTAGGAAAGCATCTTCTTTCACAGAGGAAAGAAGATGCTACCAAGTGCTGAGCAAGGCATTCTCAGCTTACACTAGAGAGAATGCAGCCCATACTTGACATGCTGGTGTAAGTAACAGGTCTTTGACTCCACATTAAGCTCAGCCGTTTCAGCTACATAAGTTTCCAGAAGTACCTTTTACTAAGTAGAAGATGAGTGGAGGGAAAAACCTTGGAAAAGGAACTTGCTCCAGTGCTATGCACCTCTGCTCCTTCCAGGCCAGGACACAGTCATTCAATACATCTTGAGTGGAACATACACAGCCACTATGAACGGCAAAACTGCAAGTTTCCTTCCTAGCATCCTGTTAAGTCCCAAGCTATGACTTGCTTGCTTCAAAAGATAAAGCAGCTCAAGATTTCCACTCAAGTTTTGACTGCTCTTCTCCTGACTGATACCAACCATAGCCTAGAGCAACATGACAAGGGCAGACCCCACCCCACTCCAGACTTCTGACGGCTTAGAGACATGCTAGGATTCACTAGGCTATTTACTGTTTTTAAACCCACAACTTCTCTTTGTAATAGGAGAAAGCAGCATAAGCCTCAAGATAAACGATGCACGGCATTCTTCTAAACTAGCACAAGAAGAAAGGGATAAGCAAGTTTTGGGATTAGACCTAGGTTTATAGTTCATGTTAATGAGGACAATGTAGATTGGCCCCCAGTGTTATTTCACCTACAGACAGCTGCCTACAGCAAAGGAATGAGTCATCAAAAGTTATTTCATTTAGCAATCAGTTTTATTTTAGAACCACAAACACCACACTTCCTCTACCACACAGGAGCACAAACAGACCTTCCTCACCTATTTGATACCTTTTAATTAGCCTAGCCTTTGACTGTAAGTGACCCTTGCTGAAATACCTGCCTGGTAAGATGACATTTTACTGCAGACCTAGATATTTAAAAATGGCACTTCTCTTGTGAAGCTATTGATGCCCCATTCCTGGAAGTGTTCAAGGCCAGGCTGGACAGGACTTAGAGTAACCTGGTCTAGTGGAAGGTGTCCCTGACCATGGCAGGGGGGTTTAGAACTAGAACTTTAAAGACCCTTGTAACCCAAACCATTCCATGATTCTACAATCACAGAATAGCAGGGTTAACACTTCACATCTCTCACAAAGACAGCAATTCTCCTTAGGAAAATATCCTTTGTCTCATGGGAACAAATGAACTCACCATTTCTGCAATACCATGACAGATCAGGGCACTCCTTCACAGACAAAGGTTTATCACAACACGTATGACCATGTTACTTTCTGCAAGACTGGCTACAATCCATCTTTGCACCCTGAAATACAGCTAGCGTTAGGAAGCACTGGATGACAAACTCCTTGAGTAGATATTATTACAGACAACGTAGGGAGGAGGGGAATTAAAGCATGGGAGATGATGAACCCATGCAGTCAATGTAACATTAAGATGTTACTAGATTAAAATCTAGATTAAAATCTAGTAAGCATCCTAACGAGCAAACACAGGTTTCATTTAATTAAGATGAGCCAAACCACAGCTGCCAAAAGCCAAAACGCCTTAAAAACGGACTTCTGTTAGGCATTGCTATAGTCATGAGCACAGGTTAAGGCTTCAGCCTCTTGGCTCCCTGATCCACTTGCAGCATGTGACCACCTCCGCAGCAGCCTAGCACCAGGAGAAGGACAGGCAGGAACAAGCCGCAGCCAGCAAGCTTTGCCCGCGCAGGCTTCCAGCTGGGGCAGCGGAAAACACCCAAATAAACAGAAGAACGCCGTGGCCATGCCACCGCACAGCACATAAACCAGAGGCTGCGCTGACAGGATCCGTCTGAGAAAAAAGTAACCCAGAAAAACTGAAGGAGCTACAGGAGTAGCCTCGATCAGAGATTAATAATCTCGATTTGAAACAACCCCAGGCCCAAATGCCTCGGGGGTACCTCAAGCCCGGCCGGGGAAGGGCAGCGCGGGGAGCGAGAGGCCTGGCGGCCTCCTCACTTCTGAAAGGGCACCTGGGAAGCGCCTGGGCCGGTGGATTCCCCCGGAAGGAGCAGATAAAGCCTTGGGCGCTCAGGACGGAAAACGGCAAGAAGAAGCGGAAGGAAGAGAAGGCACAGAATACGAGGCGCTCTCCCGGCAGCGCCCACGCGTAGCCCAGCCGGGACCCCCGCGGCCGCAACCCCGCTCCCGCCCGCCTGCCCGCCCGCGCTCACGTTGTCCAGGTCCTGCCGCCGCCTCCCCGCCGTCACCGCCATCTCCACCTCCCGCCTCCGCCGCCCCGGCGGCGCTTAATCGACACCCCCGCCCCTCCCGCCGTGAGCTCCCCGCCACCATTGGGCGCGGGGCGTGCCCGGCTCCGCCCCGGGGCGGTGCCGCCGCCGCTGCAGGCTGAGGGGCCTCTCCCGCGGGCGGGGGCGGAGGGTAATCCTGGCGCGGGTTGGGGCTCCTCGGCCTGCCCTGGGCAGCCGCCCGCTCTCGTGGCGATGCTCGGTCCAGCGCTCTCGACAGCCCGGCACTGATTTAAACCGGGGACTAGTTACAGCAGGCTCCAGGATGGTGTCCCCGCGGGGCCAGTGGCTCGGGTGGGGAAAGCACACCAGCAGCAGATGGCTGGTGAAAATGCGGGGGTAAACACAGCGTGGTGCTGCTGTCAGCTTGCTGGGCGGAGTATTTTCCCACCTCCAATTTGTCTTGCAGGGACTTCTTGAGGAAAAGATGGAGTCTACGCAGCTAATTATTATATAATGTGGATGTCTTATCTGTGAACGTGTCTGGTTGCCCCTTCTGATCACGGACAGTTTTAGTGTGCACAAGGCACTTCATAAGTTTTCAAAGATATTTCTGCCCCAGTTGTATATTTTGTGAAGAAACACATTTTCTTTAAAACTTGCCCTTACTACTTTCATTTTATAAGCCTTTGTGCTCACACTGAGACAGACTGTGGCCACTCACAGTGTCCAGACCACTCAATTTATGGATCTCACTTTAAGGATCTCCCTGCAACTCCCTGAAAGGAGGTTGTAGTCAGGTGGGCGTCGGTCTCTTCTCCCAGGCAACCAGCAGTAGGACAAGAGGGCATGATCTTAAGCTGTGCCAGGGGAGGTTTAGGTTAGACATGAGGAAGAAGTTCATTACAGAGGGAGTGATTGGGCATTGGAACGGGCTGCTCAGGGAGGTGGTGGAGTCACCCTCCTTGGAGATGTTTAAGAAAAGACTGGATGTGGCACTTAGTGCCGTGGTCTAGTTGACAAGGTGGTGTTAAGTCATAGGTTGGACTCGATGATCTCAGAGGTCTTTTCCAACCTAGTTGATTCTGTGATTCTGTGACAACCTTTTGTGTTCTGGATACTCCTTGACCAATTAGTTGCACTTGGTTAGTCTTTGGTAATCTTTGTTAGCTTATCTAACCTTTTTCAGCTGTATCATTTCTGAAATGTGTTCAAGCATGTGTAAAGTATGAGTTTCCAAAGCATCATTTTTATTATCTGTCATGTTCTCTGTTCATCTGCTAATGTTTCTTAACCTTCTATTCTATTTGAACAACCTTGAACCTTGAGCTAATGTTAGTGAGGATACTGAAAAGGATCAAAGCTGTAATGGGGGTTTGAAAGACAGCAAAATTGTATTCTCTCCAGGTTGTAATTGTTCTTTGGGTACTATTTAAGAGAAGCCAGGATTGTCACCCTGAACAGCTGCCATAGCTCTGCCTCTCTTGAAAACATGTAGAAGTGCCAAGGGGTGAAAACTGCTCTTGAGGTATGAGCTTCTTCAGGCTGTTCCGAGTTTTTGATCTCAGTTTCTGTGACTTTTCTTGGGTATCTTTTTGTAGAAAAAATACCCAAATTGAAAGCTCCCACCCAGAGCATTAACGTTCATCACTTGAATTCATTTGTTCTTGTTTTACACAGATACACACATTAAACAAACTGGACAACTATGAAAAACAAGCCTTAAACTTGCTGGTTTCAGTAAGGTAAAGTCTAACTCCTGTGATAAAAGCATGCTCTGTTCCAGTTTCTTAGCCTAAATGTTCATTTTTCCTCTTCCTTATTGCACTGCCTCTTTCTTTCCTTCCTGACAAGAACACAAGTACTACTGATCAGCAAACAGGGGACAAAAGTTTTCAGTGACAGTGAAATGAGGCCTCAATTCACTGGTTGCTGTTCAAGTAATCTGTTCAAGCTGTTCAAGCATTACTGTTGTAAGGTGTTCTGTCTTGCCAAATAGGTAGCTTAGCAGGTGTGCTTGACACCTACACAGATCTAATAACCATCAAAGATTAAGGGTTCGACAGATCAGTCTTCAACTTGATTGTGCAATTTTTACGAAGATGCTGTGTGACCACCAGAATTTCCCTTTCCTTTGTATAACTATACAACTTATTTGCACAGGACCTTTGCCTGAGCTTTTGCTGAGCTTGAAAAGCATGCTTGTTTTGCAAGGAGCAAGAATGTCTGTGTCCTGGTTAACATTTCTGTTCTGGAATAACCAGAAATGCTAGTGTGCAGTGTGTTGTGCCTAGTCTCACAGCCAAGAAGCTAATAACAGTGCCAACTACTGACAGTTGTAAGAATATTTTTTTAAATACAAATACATTTATATTGATTAAAAATATTTTATAGCCATTTTTTAAAAATAATTAAAATAGCATTATATTTTTTAAGAAACAAATAAAAAAAGCAACCAAAAAAAAAAGTCTTTCACAAAAAGTCACATATCATCTTATGTTGCTTAGCTGCTATTGTTTTCATTTTTGACCACCAACACATTTATTTCTCTTGTCACATTTTGTTGGCTTGCTTACATGCATGCTTAGGAATGCACATGTGTTTTTTGTCCTTTAATCAGAGGGATTTGGGTTCTGTATTTGTCAAGAATGATATTTGAGGGGAAACAGTAGAGGGAAAAAAGGTTAAAAAAATGAAGCAATTTAGAACTGTTGTTCAAAGTGTTAAGAACCAGGGACTTGTTTCATCACTTGGATACGCAAGTTCGAGTAACTATTTTTTTATTAGCATAATAATTTAAGTTGAGGAAGTACTCCTCGTCCTGCTGCCTGTCTCCATAAAATACCATATGCTAGTTGTAATCTTGGTTTTAGCCTGTTTCTTCAGATATGCAATGCATTGTATCAGCAGTGTACTATTTAAAAAGAGAACACAGTTGCTGCTAAGTAGTTGCCATTTCTCTGTGCTTGTTCAAAGATAATTTTGTAATAATATCTGTTTATTTAGAGCTTTAGAAATTTGGTCTAATGTATAATCCATTACTGCAAGGTACTGTACACATAAAAAACACCTCTATTCTATGTTTTGCATACATACATGGAGTGTGTGTGAGACATGCCATTAGACCAGTGTTTAGGATAAATTCAAAAGAATAAATTCTTCTAAGTATAATTTTAGAATCCTAAAGTCACAGTAAGTTTACATTTATTTGCACTCATTTAAACATTGTTTCTACTGAATGGAAAATGAAGAGTTCTCGATGGATTACTGAAGAGCATGGTTGGGGGAAAAATTACAAGTTTAAATATTTGAAGTGCTTATTTACTGTATAGAACACCAGTTAGCATATTTAGAAGTATGTAAGTGCCAGTTTCAACTGGTTTATCTAAAATATGTATGTAATCTTTATAGTAGTCGCCTCCTCTTGTTCTTACTAGATCACCCAGTCTTTGTTTTGGTTTTGATATATTGTTTTAATTACTAGATTCACAGGTAATTTTTATTGAGAGATGCTTTAATGATGTAAGTAAGGTTTTAATGAAGTATGATTTTCTTCTGCTCAATTCCTGTTCCAGCTCCTGTCCAATTTTGCAGGCACTGTCTTTCTAGTGCCCAGGACTTGAAAGTCTGCTCCCAAGGGATGATCCACTGCTGGGGAACCTAAAAAAGATCAAGATATGGCCTGTTCTAAAATTATTTCTGCTGTAATCCCATCAGTAACGATGAAAGTATCTGATAAGGATAAGCTAAAAAGATCTGATATGGCCCAACAATGCTATGCTATGATGTCCTTACTTGCTCGTTGCCCTTAAGGAAAGCTCATGTAGATTAGATACCCATGATTAAACCCTATACTTAGGCATTACCATTTATATATCAGTAATAATTACAATATTTGGGGACTAACTTTCACAATTGTATCCTCACAAAGAGACCTAATATCTACTTTTCTTCCTCTTCATTTTATTTAAAATTTGTCATGGATGGAAACAGGATTGGGCTCACAAACTTTTTCACATTCAGCTGTAAGATATAATTATTATTACTATTTCTTATTCATATTACAAGTAGTACTTAAACTGTACTCAGCTCTTCGTAAAGAATACAGTCTCTGCTCTGAGAAAATGGGGTTGTGACAGATCTCAGCATTACTAAAAATACAAATGGGAAGTGAAAAGGTAAAAATAACAGTAGACAATTTTATTTGCATGAATTGGTTGTAATAGTCCTGAAAATCATACTGCAGTAAGTGCATTCTATATTCTAGCCTCAGATTACAGACACTTCAGAAGTGTTCATTTTATTTCAAGCTTCCGTAAGTTTTTTAAATCCTATGAAGCTTAAAAAACCAGTTCACTGCTGAATACATTTATTATAAAGGAAACTTTCTCTCCACGTGTAGTTTCAGATTTTCACATCATGAAAGTGTAAGCTTTTTGTGTTGAACAGCATGGGGCTATTTAGGCATGGTAATCATGTAGTCAAAAACTGCCACTTGCTCTGCAGCTTTGGCTTCATAAGTAATATGCCCATTAAAAATTCTGTGGCCTTTAAAGGCAAGCTGTTAAAAAGAGAAGAGTGTAACACTGGTGTTGATAAAAACTCTTTCACTCTTTCACCAATTATATATAAATTTGAATGCTGGAGGCTTAGTATGGCAGTTGATTAATTCAGCTAATCTATTAATACAAATCATTTAGCAAAATGTCCAGTGTGTCCATAATGGTGTCCGGAGATAGGACTGATGAAAACAGGTACCTAATACAGCTGTAGAGAGAGAGTTTGGACTGCTTTATGCAGATGAGACAAAGGGCATAACATAATAGTGAATGGAAGAATTGTGAAAAACAGAATGGGCACTCTGGATTGCTTTTTTAAATTTTACTGATTTTCCAGATATATTAAAAAGCACATAAACTGAGGTTAAAGAAAGGATACAACTTGTCAATTTCCTATTTATTTTCAGAAATATACTTTACAAATATAAAAGTTTGGAAATAAGTATCACAATGTATCTTATTTACTTTGTGCTAAAGATGAATTTGAGTGCTTTAAATGGTTTAGGGCTTAA